CCAGAGCTGTGCCTGTCGTGCAGTAGACACACTACTTTTGTTGAATGATGTGTGTGAAGGCTCTTCATAGTCGTGTTATTTGGAGAATAAGACAGATGTGGAGTGTGTGGAGAAACGGGACAAGAGGAGTAGACAGAGACTAGGATGAAGGGGCTCACACATGGCTAGGGAATATGAATGTGTTTTCAGGTTCTGGATCATAGTTGAAGGATGTCATGCAAGGCAATGGCATGGTCAGCTCTGGTTTAGATGAATCGTTTCAGGGTACTTAACAGGGAGGTTGAAACATTTTGTGTTATGTGAGTTCAGAGTTATACATGGTCTTTCTGGACACTAGCCTTACTAAAATGCACTGCCCTGCATTTGAAGCTGTGGCTGAGGATGAGATCACCCAGGGAATGTGTGGAATGAAAAGGGAGAAGGACAGCAGAGGGATCCTTGTGGCTCTGTCACCATCGAAAAGTTGGGTAGAGGAAAAGAATCCCTCAGTTCTTCCTTTCCTTGTTTACTTAGGGTGACTAACTTTATAACTGAATTCTGTAAATTACCCTTAAAACTGTTTATTTGAAAAGGTTTTTTTTTTTTTTTTTTTTTTTTTTGGTGATGCATTTTTTAAGTAGGTGTCTCAAAACTCATTGCTAGTGCTGCTACCTGTGTTCTTCTTGAGCCCTAAGCTGATGAGAATTTGGAGGAGCCCTTTTGGTACAGAGAACTCAGCAAGTATGTGGAATAGCTGGTGAATCACAGGTCCTCCATCTGGAAAGCTTCCTGACTCCTCAAAGCTTCTCTTCATCGGTGACCATGTGGCTTCCAAGTTGACTTTGACTTGGTTTGCACTTTCCCAGCACACTTCCCAATCTGATGATGTGTTGTGGCTTCCCATCTGCACCACCACATGCATGCCGAAATTGGTGCTTTCATTCTGAATGTTTCTGGGGAGAGTTGCTACTTCATCTGGTAGTGGTCGGGCTCGGATTTTCATATCCTGAATATGAATCCTGTTGCTTAATAAGGGCCTAGGTCATGCCTTGGGGATATACCGAGGATATATGTGGAGTGCAGAGGCAACATTCTAGACAGATATACACTTTTTATTATTAACAAATTTTGGCCACAACCTTTGGTGTATAAACTGCCAGATTTCCCCAGCTCCTTTCACTGGGCTTTGGACAGGAGCAGGGTCACTTGTCTGCTTCAGGCTGCCTTTCTCTTGGGTTGCACCTCAGTTCTTATTTATTTTTTGAGTGGGGCATAGGGACCTCATCCAGAATGGGTAGGGCTCAGGGGTTTTCTTATTGCAATGGCAACAGGATAAAAACAGGCTGAAAAAGGAGAGTTTCAGGAGAAAAGCCCAGAAAAGGTCTCCTCCTCAGAAGACAGCCTTTAAGTCTCTTGCCTATTGCATGGAAGCTCCATCTTCTAGCACTCAGGCACAGTCTGATCTTCCAGCGGAGTCCGCGAAGTCCATGAGAATGGCCGCTTTTCTCGCTCGTTGCTGCTGCTGTTACAGTTTTGAGAGAATAGCAGGATCCTTGTTGTCCTCTAGAGACTTGAGTCTGTCACTAACATGTTTTAAGTTCCTTTGCCCCTAGACCATACCAGGAATTAGTGATTTGTCAGTTCATAGTTCACAATCTCATAGTTCATTTAATTCACTTTAAAGTTGTCAGTTTCTTTGTAAGTAACCTGTAAAAGACACCTTTCCAGAACAGGAGCCATCTTTTTGAAAAAAAAAAAAAAATTCTGAATAAACTTTTCTAAGTATCTGGATTTGGATTCCATATTTGGAGAGAAAATGTTGGTCCCAACTCACATTACATTTACATAAAGAGAGCAGTATTTCTTCTGATTAAACCAAATCCCGATATTCGCAATAGATTTCATACCACAGACTTTGCCTTGAAGCCTAACATATGCAGTATGCTTGAAGCTAACCAGCTGCCCGGTGGAAGTTTGCAGTATGTCTTGTTTAGTTTCTCAGAATTCAGACCTCATTTGAGTTGGCTGAGTCTCGTAAACTCAGGCACTTCTATGCAATGTGTTATCTCTTAATCATTTTATTTAACACCATTGGCCCAAAATGTTAATGAGCCAGTTTATATTGTTTAATCTTCTCTAAATTCTTTATGGCAAAGCCTTGAAATCAAGCACTGTTAAGAACATCACTCATTCAATTTAGTTCAATAAGGAGTGACTCTCTTAAGAGATTTCATTTTAGGATGAAGTGTATCTGTGTAGAAAAAAATATGGTTTTTTTTCAAGTTTCAGATTCAAATGTTCTTTGAGACCTATTGGAAATAAAATGGAAAAATGAGGTGAGAGTATATTGGTTTTCTATGGCTGCCATAACATAACAAATAATTGCCACAAATTTGTTGGCTTTATGACCATAGGGTCCTGGAGCTCAGAAGTTCGCATGGTTCCCACCCGCTCACGTAAAGGTGTGGGCCCTGCTACCTCCTTTCTGGCCTCAGGGGAGAGTCTGTGCCTGAGCTTTTTCAGCTCTGGATGCCCCTCACATTCCTCAGCTTGTGGCCCCTTCCTCCAACTTCACAGCCAGCAACTCCAGGCTGAATCTTTTCACTCTGCCATCTCTTCTCTCCTCTCTGTTCCACCTTTCTTTTCCATTGTAAGGTCCTTTGTGATGACATCGGGCTTGCCTAGATAATCCTGGATAGTCTCCCCACCTTAATGCTAGGTGGTTACCAACCTTAGTTCCATCTGCAGCCCTAATTCTCCTTTGCCATGCGACTTAACATTTACAGGTTCTGGAGGTTAGTGTGTGGATGTCTTTGGGGAGCCATTATTCTCCCTACCAGAGGGATGACTGGGTGTGGCAAAAAACTGACGTTTATCAAGTGCCTAGTGTATCTTCAGCAGTTTTTTTTTTGAGATGGAGTTTCAATCTTTTGCCCAGGCTGAAGTATAGTGGTATGATCTCAGCTTACTGCAACCTCTGCTCCCCGAGTTCAAGTCATTCTCTTACCTCAACCTCCTGAGTAGCTGGAATTGCAGGAGCCTGCCACTATGCCTGGCTAATTTTTGTATTTTTAGTAGAGACAAGGCTTTGCCTTCTTGGCCCTGCTGGTCTCAATTTCCTGACCTCAGGTGATCTACCCGCCTTGGCCTCCCAAAGTACTAGGATTGTAGGTGTGAGCCACCATGCCTGGCCTTCAGCCTGGTTTTAAAACTCAAATTATACATCAGGGTCCTAGAGACATTAAATGACTTGTCAGTGTCACATAATTATTAATAATAATGAGCTGTGATTTGTTGAGTTCTTGCTAAGTGTCAGATCCCATGTCAGGAGATTTACAGGCCATATTTTTCCCAAGCCTCAATATACCCCTCTGAGATGCATAACATAAATTACATTTTACAAGTGAGAATGCAGGCTCTTCTAAAAATTGTAACTGATGCACTGTCACATGGCTTGCTGATAGCTGAATGCTTGGGCTTCATGAGTCTGATTCCCAAACCATGCTGTTTCTACTAAATTACAGTGGATTAAAATGGAAGGGCCTTATGGAGCTGCTTTGTCTTGCCGCCCACATCACAGTGCAGTCTTATCTGGACGATCTGGGTAGTGTTCACAGTGCCTCTCAGGGTATTTGTCAGGTTATTTGGTATCACATGTCAAAATGACCAGGTAGTTAATCAATTGACTTGACAAATTTTCTTTGTTTTCCTTCTATCCTCCCATTTTTATTAGTAAGGATATATTGTGCCCCTTTAACTACTGCATTTGATTTTTGTCAGTGTTTCTCATCCTAATATGCTGCCGTCTGGGAAGTGGAAACCAGTGTCCTTGCACTTACTTTCCCTTCTGCCTTTTCTGTGCTAGGTGCCTTGTGTTATGTGATGCTCCTTTTAGCTAATAACACTGTTAGCATCGAGTAGGTGGGGAAACTGAGCATCAGAAAGTCTAACTAATAATGCTCAAGGCTATGTAGTATGTGGTGGAGCAAGAACTTCAGTTTGTGTCTATTTGTTCTCAGGGGTCTATAACTCACGGCCTCAAAAACTTTTAATGTTTGGTGGGTAAAAACATTGTAAAAATACAGAGTAAGAGTTAACGGTAAATGACATTGAAAGATGGGAGTAGAGGAAATGTTGAAAGGCAGTAACTGTTTGCTAAGTGAATTATACCAGCCATTGATAGAGTAAGAGTTCAGAAGAGAAAGATTATTTTAGGTTGTGGTCATTGGTGATGGCTTATGAAAGAGAAGAAATTATTATTTAATTTCCATATAATTTGTTCTGGGATATTTATAATCAGAAAAAAAATGTAATAATGACAATGATAACCACGATTTATTGCACACAAAATTCCAGGATCTATTTTTGAGGTCTTTTCATACATTATTTAATCTTTGAAACAATGTATATAGATTATATACAGATACATATAGATAGATACAGCCATATAGATAGATAAAAATATCTGTCTTATAGATAGATTTTGTTTCATAGATACTGAAACTAAGCCTGAGAAATTAAACTTAAGTTTAATTAAACTAAGCCTGAATTAAACCTAAACTAAATTAAACTAAGCCTGAGAAATTAAATTTGCTAATATGTAGCAGGGTTTGCTACATAAAACTGAGCTCTGCTTTGACTTCAAAACCTGTGCCTTTTTTGCTGTGCTGTAACAGCTGCATCTTCTTCACGTTCACAGATTTGTGCTTCAGTTCTGCATATTGATTCAACATGGTTGAATCATTTCATAAACTTGAAACAATTTCATAAAATATTGGAAATAAGTTTCAATATTTCCAATTTGAAATAATTTCATAAAATATTGGAAAGATATAGAGAAGGAAAATAAAAGTTTCTGACATAATAAATAAGCAAATGTAAAATGTGCGTGACTTATATTGACCCTGATGAGCTCAGTGACTTGAAACTGTCTAGGAGTTGATTGAATTATTTTTTTCCATTGATATCTGCAGTAGGTTGAATTGTGGCCCCTAAACATGTCCTTATCTTATTCTTCACAGTTTGTGAATGTTACCTCATATGGTAAAAGGTGCTTTGCAGAAATGATGAAAAGTCTTGAGATCAAGAGATTATCCTGGATCATTTGGGTGGACCTGTTACCACAGTGGTCTTCATAAGAAGGATGTGCAGGAGTCAGAGTCAGATAGAATGCAGTATCACAACAGAAACAGATTGGAGTGATGTGGCCACAAGCCATGGATGCTGTAGTTTCCAGAACAGCCCCAGTGCCTGTCCATGGCTTGTAAGGAACCGGGTGCACAGCAGGAGGTGAGTGGCCAGTGAGTGAGCATTACCACCTGAGTACCACCTCCTGTCAGATCAGATGGGCATTAGAATCTCACAGGAGTGTGAACCCTGTTGTGAACTGTGCATGTGAGGGATCTAGGTTACATGCTCCTTATGAGAATCTAATCCCCCTGCACTCCCATCTGTGGAAAAATTGTCTTCCATAAAACTGGTCCCTGCCACCAAAAAGGTTGAGGACTGCTATTCTAAAGATGGGAAGGACAAGGAAAAGGATTAGAGCCTCTAGAAGGAATGCTGCCTTACTGTTCTGGAGGCCGTTTTAGATTTCTGGCCTCCAGAACAGTAAGATAATACATTTTTGTTATTGTATTAAACCACTGAGTTTGTAATAATTTGTTACAGTGACAACAGGAAACTAATAGAATGGCCTTAAATAATTATGAACTTTTTAACAATAATAGTTGGAGACTTTAATACTTCGCTTTCAATAATGTATACAACAACTAGGTAGAAAATTAGTAGGGAAATAGTAGATTTGAACTAGACTCAACAGATATCTGTGGAATCTGCCCTCCAGTAACCACAGGAAATGCATTTTTCTCAAGTGCACATGAGAAAAATGTGCACTTGAGAACACAGGAGATGTTCTCCAGGATAGACTATATGCTAGTTCATGGAACATGCCTCAGTGAATTTTAAAGGATGGAAATTGTGCAAAAGATGTTTTCCAACCACAGTGGAATGGTATTAAGGATCAATAACAGAAAGAAACTTGGGAAATTCAAAAATATGTGGAAATTAACAGACTCCAAAATAACCAGTGAGCCAAAGAAAAACTTACAAGTGAAATTAGAAAATGTTTTGACATAAATGAAAATGAAGACACTGCATATCAAAACTTAAGAGATGCAGCCAAGCAGTACTTAGAGGAATATCCCTATATCAAAAATAAAGGGAGGTCTCCAATCACTTACCTAACCTTCCATCTTAAGACACTGGAGAGCAAATCTAAAAGAGCAGATGAAGGAAACAACACAGGTTAGAATAGAGATTAATCAAATAGAGAATAGAAAATTAATAGAGAAGAGTCAACAAACCGAAAGTTGGTTCTTTGAAAAGATCAACAAAATTGACAAAACTGTAGCTACACTGACTAAAAAGAAAAGAGAGAAGACTTATGTTCTGTAGATGTCTGTTACGTGTAAAATTGGGAATGAAAAAAGAGGACATTGCTATTAACCTTATAGATACAGAAAGGATTCTCGGGAATACTGTGAACAATTATATGCTAATAAATTAGGTAAGTTAGATGAAATGAACAAATTTCTTGAAGGACACAAATAACTGAAACTTGAAAATCTGAATATATTGCTTTATAAATTGAATTGGTAAACAACAGCAGCAAAACCTACTCCCTAAGAAAAGCCCAGATATCCAGATGGCTTCACGGGTAAATCCTAGCAAATATTGAAGGAATAATTCTTCACAAACTTTTTCAAAAAACAGAAGAGGAAGGATTGCTTCTGTCTTAGTCCTTTGGCATGCTATAACCAAATTTCTTAGACTGAGTAATTCATAAGCAACAAAAATTCATTGCTCAGAGTTGTGCAGGGTGAAAAGTCCAAGATTAAGGTGCTGAGAAATTCCATGTCTGGAGAGCGCCTGTTCCTCATGAATAGCACCTTCTATGTGTTTTCACATGGGGGAAGGGTGAAAGGGCAAACAGGCTCTCACAAGCGTCTGTTGACACTAATCCCATTCATGAGGGCAGAACCCTTCTGACTTAATCACCTCTTAGAGACCCTACTTCTTTGTACTGTCACCTTGCGAGTCAAGTTTCAACATATGAATTTTGGTGGGACGCAAACATTTAGACCATAGAAGCTTCCCAACTCATTCTTTGAGGCCATTATAACCTGCATCCCAAGTCAGAAAAAGATGGCACAAGAAAACTACACATCAGTATCTCTTATGAATTTAGATGAAATTATCTTCAACAAAATATGAGTAAACCAAATCTAAGAACGTATAAAAAGGGAAGATTATGCACCATGACCACGTGGGATTTATCCTAGGAATGCGAGATTGGGTTAGTATTCAAAATCAATTAATAGAATACTTCATGTCAAAAGAATAAAAGACAGAAACCTCCTAATCATTTCAGTGGATAAAGAAAAAAGCATTTAACAAATTCTGACCTCTTTCCTGATAAAACAAAAACACCTAACAAATTAGGAATAGAAAGGAACTTCTAAAGGTAATAAACTGCAATAGATAAAAACCCACAGGAAATGTTACATTTGTGGAAGACTTTCCCACTATGATCAGGAAGAAAGCAAAGATGTTGTCTTCGACACTTCTATTCACCATTGTCTTGGAAACTGTCAGGGCAGCTGGGGAAGAAAGTGAAAGGCATGCACATTGGAAAGGAAGAGGTACACCTAAGTCTTTGTAGGTGGTTATCTTGTGTGCAGAAAGCGAGGAATCCACTAAAACACTGCTAAAACTAATTAACTTTAGGCCCATCCCCTTTGAATTTAAAGTTGAATGTTTCTTCTGATAATAACTGTAGTGTGTACTTGACTGGATTAAAGTTTCCAAGGTTCTCTTCTGTTTTGCAGAACGCTGTATAACTGCCACCTATACAAATGCCTAGTACATGTAAGGCACTCTACATACTTGAATGAATGCTTATTATAGAAAAAAAAATGGAAGACGTAAAAAAGTAGAAAAGAGAAATGTGCTCCCCATAAAGCAATCAATTTAAGATAACTATTGGTTATATTTTAGACAGTTTTCATCAATTTCATTCTTCATATGAAATTTTATATTCTTTATAGTTTAATATTCTGTCATAGTGATTTTCTTAAGTCATCAGACAGTGGTGAATACTGTTTTTCATAGCTGTGTAGTAGTTTATGTTGTATATGTCATCATATTGTTAACTGACTCTTCACTAATAAGCATTAATCTAAATGATTAATAATCTCAATTTGTCTGTTATGTCTTTACACACTGTTCATCTCTGCTCTTACCTTGAACACATTAAAAGCCTGAATTGACCTCCTAACCACCAGCACTATTCTTCTCCCTTTTTAGATTTGCAGTTTAAAAGGTAGCAGTGCAATAAGCAAATCCATTGAAGTTATTCCTTTGTTTAAAAATTTTTCGGCCAGGCGCGGTGGCTCACGCCTGTAATCCCAGCACTTTGGGAGGCTGAGGCGGGTGGATCACGAGGTCAAGAGATCGAGACCATCCTGGTCAACATGGTGAAACCCCGTCTCTACTAAAAATACAAAAAATTAGCTGGGCACGGTGGCGCATGCCTGTAATCCCAGCTACTCAGGAGGCTGAGACAGGAGAATTGCCTGAACCCAGGAGGCAGAGGTTGCGGTGAGCCGAGATCGTGCCATTGCACTCCAGCCTGGGTAACAAGAGCGAAACTCTGTCTCAAAAAAAAAAAAAAACCTTTTTTTTTTCATTGGCTGTCAGATCAGATCTTCAAGATAATTGCTTTAGGATGGTATTCACTGCCCTGCTTACCTGTCCAGTCTTATTTCTGCCATTCCTTTCTTTGACCCTGAGCTTACAATCATGCTGGATTTCTTGTGTGATTCATGAAAGACATGATTTTTTTTTTTTTAATTTAACGCTTCTGTGTGCTCTGTGTGTGTGTGTGTTTGTGTTTAATCACAAGTGCTTTTTCATCTTATGTGCTTATCAACTTGTATTCTTAGGGACTCAGTTCAGGTATCATCACCTACAGGAGACTACTTTGTCACCCACTTTACATTATGGCCTCGATAACCACTCTAATATGTTAGCCACTCTACATACCTCTGTCATAGCCTCTGCCACACTGGATTGGAATCTTATTTATGTCTCTCCTGTAGAGGATATGCTTGGTGGAGGCGGGGACTATGTATCCACGGTGCTTGAAACAAAATAGGTTTTCTATAAACATCTATTTAGTAAATGCTGCAGTGAAGCTCTTTGTATACAAGTCTACTGGCCAGTCAGATAATTTCTTTAGGAGAGCTTCCAGAAGTTGAATAACTAGGTCAGAGTTAATCAACATTTTAAAGGTTCTTGACTTACACTGTCGACTAACGTAGTCAAATTGATTTATAGACGTGTCGTACTAGTTACGCTCTGCCGTCATTGCATTTGAGCACTTAAGTGGGGCCTTCTAAATCATATTTTGTGGTAAGATCTGTTAAGGTAATTGGTGCTGTCACTGCTTGGGCCATGACTGTTTAGGAAGAAGTAGAAAGTGTCTATTTGGCAGGCTTGCAGCCTGTCACCGTTTATGAGCACTTGAAAATGGGAACAAAATGTGCCAAACTAGAAAACTGAAGTTTGGTTTTCCATTTCCCATCCTGGTGTTTGGTTGCCTTTCAAATATAATTTGTTGTTTCTTGATACCATTAAATGGGCAGAGAGCTTTCTTTGGCACTCTGCATAATGCTCACAACAGTAATAGGCACACTGCCAGAATAAATGCTTTTCAGAATCTGGAAGAGCTGTTGGAGAAGCACTTCTTTCTGGTTTCCTTCTGGGATTTGCAAAGTTAATAAAAGGTGTCATTAATGTCACTGGACATTATGTTTAATGTATAACCTCCGAGTTGCTGATTGGGCTGATTAAGTTATAGTGGCTAAAGTTTTCTGTAGGCAAAAAGAAAAATAATTAACAATGCTGTATACAGTCTTTGGATTTGTATTTAATAAAACCTGCAGTAGGTTACGGAGCATTTCCCAGTGTTGCCCTGGGAAATGGGAAATGGTCAGTTTTTTTTTTTTTTTTTAATAAGCCTTAGTACTAGAAAAGAGGGAAGGTAGAATGAGCTATTGGTTACCAGAGGGGTGTCTGGAAGAAACCCTGTGTCCTCTGAAATAATTCTTTACCAGCTACATGCTCAGATTGTCATTATGCTTCTGTAGACCCAGATGTACCTATGTGCCATTTTTTCCCCCCAATCTCCATTTACTTTTTTGAGTTTTTGGACATGTGTGTATGTT